CTCCAAAAAAAAAAAACAGGCTAAAATTAAAAAAAGTTGTAAAATATTCAAGTTTACATAAAGTAAATAGATTGCCCACACAAAACACTTCATCATCAATCATTGACAAACCAAATAAAGAGTTGAAATATTTAACAAGTAGGGTCTAGTAATAATCAAACACTAAGCAAACAATTTAATATTATTATAAATATACCTGAACAATATTGTATTCATTAACTAAATAGATTCAGGGTTTTTAGATATAACCCCTTATCTAAGATATTAATAGGCATAGCACATTCCTCATTGCATTGAAAATAAACTGCATTATATTGTGTTTAAGTTTAGAAATACATTATAGTTGTTGATACATTGTGTTACAATATGTTTGTATCCTGTGCACTCTGTATTACAATGTAATATAACTTATAGTTAATGGATTTTATTTGAATAAAACATTAGGTTATGAGGATTAATTCCACTGATTGGACCTGGCCAAACCATTTTATCACTGATTATACTAGTGTAACTAAGGTTCGTGAGGATACTGTCTACCAGTTGAACCTTAGACAAACCAGTTATCAACCAGGATAACAACTAAGAAAGGATAAAAAATAAGGTTTTTAGGATATAGTCAACCCTGTGATTTTTTATCAAACCTCATGGTAATGATCTTACAAGGATAACAACTTTTACCAGTTGGCTCTTGGAAATTCTTGGATTTTCTGTATATATTTGTATGCTGAAATTAGGCTTAAAGTGTTGTATTGTACCAAGCACTTGACCAAAAATCGTGGAATATTCCTTTAAAATAGAATGCTGGAATTGAGCTCAAAGTCTTGTATTGTGAACGTGTTATTATCAAATATTTGGAAATCAAATGAGTGAAATAACAGAACAATATGTCAGAATTACAGAAATTAAAATCAAGTGGTTTGGTTTCAAAGTTTCTTCAAGGTAAATTTAAATATTCATTTATATATTTGGATAAAGTATGAATAAGGATAAAAACTCCATTCCCTTCAAGTCAAATCATGAAAAAATATAGGCCTTAATAATAGGCATTTATCAAAGAGAAAACAGTAGGAAGTAAAACTCCATTCCCTTCAATTAATATCACGAAAAAAAAAGATCAAGTAGGTATAAAAAAGAAAGTACATCTCTAGGTAAGGATTGAATAACTGATAATCCCGGATTAAGCCAGAGATTATCTGGGCTGTGATTTATAAACAGTTAATCTCCCAGTTGTAGTTAGTTTACAAATGAAATGAATGGTGTCCTACTTTTCTGCACTTTCTGAGCTAATGAAGACGGGCAACACCATGCAGTGTGCAAGCACAGGGATCTTTTGCCTTTTCGATTTCTAACTGTAGAGGGATCTTTAATGTGCACAGTCTGTAGCACACGGGCCCCAGTTTATTGTCCTATCCGAACATCTAGACTCTTTTTCTATGACAGCCCAGCCAACCTGCATCACTCACGAGGGGGAAACCGGGTTGAAAAAGCTGAAGGTATTATCTCCACCTATGCCAGGATTGAACCCTGGATCTTCCTAATTCTAATTGACTGAGCCACCGCGGCTTCCGGATAAATTATCTGTTAGATTGATCAGCTAGATAGTTTACTACTATTCCCAAATATTTAACGAATATAGTTTTATTGATGTTTGAACTTGGTATTATGCTTGCCCTTGTTTGATATATCATTTATTGCTTAAATTGTTCATTCATTTATTCATTCATTCAATTTTATTCATTTCAATCATTCATTCCATTTCATTCCATATCGTTCCATTTCATTTCATGGGAGCCGGGTGGCTCAATGAGTTAGAAGGTCCAGGGTTCAATCCCAGCATAGGTCGAGATAATACCTTCGGATTTTCCAACCCGGTTTCCGAGGCCCGTGTGCTAAAGGCTGTGCACGTTAAAGATCCCTCGACAGTTGGAAATCGAAAAAGAGCAGGGTCATGCCGCTGTCCTGGCAAAATTTCCCTCATTGCACCCTGTATGGCGTTGTCCGTCTTCATAAGCCCACATGTTGCAGAAAAGTAGGACGTAAAACTCCTTTCATTTCATTTCATTTATCTCTATGTGTGAAAGTTAGTAAACAACAATAAAAGAAAGTTGCTGTATCATATCTGATTATAAAATCTGTTAAATCAGTCAACCATCCCTTCATTTTACCTTGTTAATCGTGGGCTTCATTAAATTCTCTTGACTTTAACTGGGAACTTATTTTTGTGTCAACTAATTTTCGCTCAATTTTTACTGACAGAGCACAAAGTTTTGGAGTTTTAAGAACACAAAGTTTTACAAATATTAAGTTGTCAAGAGCTAATCCAAAACATGTGTGGGATTCAAAATTCTCATCATAAAACAGGAGCTTAAAAGTTAGTATTTGGACTTGAATCTTGACTTTTCATAAGTCATACAAGGGGACCCAGATAAGTCATACAAGGGGACCCAGATAAGTCAGACAAGGGGACCCATAAGTCATACAAGGGGACCCAGATAAGTCATACAAGGGGACCCAGATAAGTCATACAAGGGGACCTAGATAAGTCATGCAAGGGGACCCAGGTAAGTCATACAAGGGGACCCAGATAAGTCATACAAGGGGACCTAGATAAGTCATGCAAGGGGACCCAGATAAGTCATACAAGGGGACCCAGATAAGTCATGCAAGGGGACCCAGATAAGTCATACAAGGGGACCCAGGTAAGTCATACAAGGGGACCCAGATAAGTCATACAAGGGGACCCATAAGTCATACAAGGGGACCCAGATAAGTCATACAATGGGACCCAGATAAGTCATACAAGGGGACCCAGATAAGTCATGCAAGGGGGCCCAGATAAGTCATACAAGGGGACCCAGATAAGTCATACAAGGGGACCCAGATAAGTCATCAAGGGGACCCAGATAA